GAAAACACATGTTTCTGGACATGTTTGCTTGAATCCTGGCTGTAGCTTGTTTGTAATAGAAGGCCACTCCTCGACAACGGAGACTTCTGATGACGACGAAGATGCCATTGCAGTGGATCGGCAGAGTGTTTTGGCAATTCCGGCCAAGGAGCTTGCACGCGGACCGAAGGTCTTGAAACTGGAGGATGTATCCTCTCGCCAGCTTGCATTTGTGCTCGCAACCTCCCTCCCTTTCATCCATCCGAGCGACCTTGTTCACGTTGGCGGCGAAGCAGCTCCTTGCACGGAATACATCACACATGCCGAATTTTGTGTGTGCGTGTGTGTGTGTGATAGAGCTGGGGTGCCCATTCATTTATCACTGTGAAGACACGTGCATGTCTCGCTGCTGCTTCTTTTGTGAGGCCTCCTTGTGTGTCGAGTCTTGGGCCCAGGAAGCACTCTTGGAGGCGACAGTCCTCCGGTACAAGAAGATCAAGGACAAGCACGCTGAGTCTGACGCCGTGCAGCAGGTGTCTCGTCTTCATGTCTGGTTGTTGCAGCCTGACAATCGGTGCTTTGGATCAAGCCCGAGGTGAAAGCGGCCTCCAATTTGTGGAGGACTCGTTTGGGAAAGATCCTGGATCTGAGACACTTGGACTGTATACCTTCTTGGTTTGATTGACCGTCACCGAGTGACACCACAGTGAAAACACTTCATGTGGCATTGCGCTATCCTAGTTACTGGCAAGAATGCCGCCTCAGTGTCGGTGTCGAACTGCAAGACCCTGGATGACATGACCAATTTGGTTGCTTGTCTGAGCAAGAAGTTGCGAAGGACGGATACAGACTGGTGAGTTGACTTTGTTGCCAGAATATTGTACTGAGATCGTTGCGAATGGGTTTCCCTCCCGGTTGCTTTTCTGTCATGCAGGAGCCAGAAGTTCAAGCTTGCAGAAATGGAAGAGAAGTACGACCAGCTGTTGGAAGGGTTGCGAAAGGACCCGAGATGCAATCGTTAGGTTGCAGGCCTTGCATCTTGCTTCCTGTGGACCAAAACCGGCTCTCGCAAGAATCGCTCCAAAGCTTGTGGCTTAGGCTTGTCGCTTGAAACTTCCTTGCGAAGTCCCTCACCAACCGTCCAACGGACGAACATCCGTTGCAGCCATGGCTTCCTCCTCGCAGTATCTTTTCCAAGAGACACTTGTCGAGGAAGTTCGTGCGAAGTTGCATAACATGATGAAGGATGCCACGGATGCTGCTTTCTTGGCTTTGGCAGAGAAAGAGGCAGCACTTGTGAAGAGGGAACAAGCGATCGACGTGAGAGAAGCCAGGGTGGCCGAGCGCGAAGCAGCTCTGTTGGCTCGCGAGTCAACGACGGCGATGCCACGCCGTGCAGTGTGCCCGAATTGCACCAGGGGCTTTTTCTGCTCTCGTTCATCTGCATGTTTTGACCCTGTCACGGGGGAAGACTTGCATCATCATAATTGCCGGTCTTGTTATAAAGAATGGAAAGCAGCTAATCGGCGAGGTGAAGGCGGCAAGGGCCGCTAACGTGTGGATGTCTGCCTGCTGTTCTGATAAAAAAGTGCTGTGAAGATGCTTGTCCTGAAAACCCTGTTCCGCTCTGCTTCCTGTTGCAGCATTTGTTTTGACAGCCCGAAGAGTGGGCTGAAGCATGCAGCCATTCAGGGACAGCTTGACTGTTATCATGGCCTGGCCGAGTTTTGTGTTTCAAGTGTAGAGTAGAGGCTTCTGGGGCATTATGTCGGAGGACAGCAGCAGTGCACGTCCCTCAGCAGCCCCGCTGGCCTCGCTTCGCACGTGGGATTCCGGAACGGGCTTTCGTCTGGAGTTGCACTCCATACTTCCGCAGTCGCAGCTGCTTCCCAATGGTCTTCAAGGTTCACTTGGGATGGACGATGCTGTGTTGCGGGCTTATCTTTCTCGGGAAGCTGAGAAAATGGAGCTAGAAAACATGGCAAAGAACGACAAGGACGCCTGTTACCCGGACTCCCTGGTCATTCACAGATACAATGTCGTGAAGGAGGACGTGCTTTTGCATTTTTCCGTTTTAGAGTGTGAACATTACAGACACGGTCAGGTCCTTGCTTTGTGGCATGACTCCAGAGACCATATGAGCATCGGACTAAACCTCCNNCATATGCAGGATCGGACGACTGCATCATATCCAGCAGTCGCAGCAGATGTTCATGGGTGCTTTGAGCTGCAAGCATCATAAGCCGCATAACCACTAAACTAAACCCGGAACCCTGAACCGTTTTGACGTCAACAGCGTTTGAATTTTTACGGCAGCCATCCATTTGATAGAAGTCGTTTAAGGAAGAGAAAGAGGAGTAACCGGGAGATCGAAGCAGAGCAGTGCGGAGGGAAGAAGCGCAGCCGTGGTGGTGTTCTGCACCG